TCTGATAGTACAAAACTGTTTGAGAAAGGCAAACCAAGCCCCCTTTCTACAGTAATCAGCTGCCGTATTCTGACATTTAAAGGTCCTGACAGTCAATTTTTGACAGCTGTTGTCAAACCCCTAAGTACATAAGGTAAGTGTGATGTTAGGATGTTGGGAGGGTACAGCGTCAAATGGTCAAGGAGGGATAGGGTGTCAGGACAATAGGGTGCCAGGAAAGTAGGATGCCAGTTAGGAAGGGTGTCAGCCTGGGGAGGGGTTAGAGTTCTGGGATAAGGTAACAGATGAGTAGGGGATACACTGCCAAAGATAAGATGCTGGATGGGTAGGGGACAGATTGCCCAGTAAGTAGGCTTCCACCTGGGAAACAAGCATGGTGCAAAGTAGGTCGTGCACAAGGTGTCAAGTGAGTAATGCAATGTGGGAGGAATCAGGTCCAGTGGGGGTGGCAGAGGTTGGGTTGGGTATGGCAGGCAAGGGTTGGGGGTGTTGTCTGTTCCCAGAGGTGAGGGCAGAAGCGGGTTGTTAGTTCAGAGTCTGAGCGAGTCATGGTTGGGGGTGCACGTGCTAAGTACGGAGTCAGTCAATATGTACTCAGGAGTTATATTCAAAAATTAAGCTATTAAATACATACTATCTATTTTGCTTAATTTCATTGGAACCATCCAGAATCTCTCATTTAAATCAATACTTTTAAAGTGATCCTAGCGTAAAGAAATTGCGTGGTGGAAAATTCCATTTCCTGAGCAATTCTTTTGAAGTGTGCTACGACAGGGATTCTGCAGGATTTCCTTGTCCAACTTCTATCAATGCTGACATAGTGATTGTCTATCCAGTGGAAAATCCGGGCCAATATTCATTAACTAAACCTTAAATTAACTTGCAAACTGCCATTGGGTCGGACTTTGTTGCACCAGTAGGAGTTCTCAACTACTGGCATTTCAAAAAAAAGAACTAAGAAGTAAAATGTTCTTGTTGCAAAGTAACGTTAGGATTCCTCTTATAGGAGTGGTTAATTCATTAGGATGGGATATTGACATCTAAATTTAAAATGTAAAGTGAAGGACCTTATAGTTGATGTTTTCAATTAGATTGGAAACACAAGTTTTTGAGTTATCCTGTAGGACTGAACTTTTCACCTTGTTTTACAACATCAAACATGAAACTATCCCTTATGGAAAAGTTTGTTCAGAAAAACACCTTTGATCACGAGTCCATCAGATGGTGATCAGGACACAACGTGCTCAAGTACCTGTGGGTAAAAGAGACAATCGATCCTGTTGCGTGGTTCCCTGAGCATACTGTTAAAGCCATCAAAGTGATCAGCAGAACTTTCTAACGAGTACCAAGATGTAGCTTAGCTATTGGTGAGAAGGACAGTCCCCATCAAATTGTTCATGAACACCTGGACTTTCAATGCCACCATGTGCTGCCCTCAAGATGGCTACAGTGAAGAGAATGCCACACATCTCCTTCTTGACTGTGTCTTTGAAAAGACAGTCTAGATATAGATGTGGTGGGTTTTTTTTCTTGAGGGAAGTCCTGAACAGCTCTGTAACACAAAGCCTGGGTTCTACAGGCTGTTCCATGGAAAACATACTGAGGCTAACATCTCCTGCGCCCGGAAGATCACAAACTCAGTGATAGAAGCTCTTTGATCTGCCAAACCTTATTGTCCGAACAGAGCAAAGAAATGTTCTTGAATGAATGCTTACAGTTCCATATTTCACTTGACTATGTGCTGAGGAATACACTAAAACTCGAGGCAGCTTCTGGCAAAGACAGTGGAGAAAGATCACAAAGGTCTTATTGCCATGATTTACACAGGACTGTTAACTTATAGGAGTCCTTGGGGTGAGCATGCTTGATTTGAAATGTATATCTTTCTTGTCATATTTGGTAAATGTTCCAATTTTGCATTTAGAATGAGGCACCTAAGGATTTAAATCCTCGGCTGTAAAACGTGATATTTTATTAACTTTATGTAATTTCCAATGAACTAATTTAAAATGGATTTATAGCTATTGTATGTTTTTTTTGGCAACACATCCAATAAACATAAAACAATTGTTTACAGATCAAGTTGGGTTGAGGCATGTTTGATACTTTAAATAAAAATATTTGTTACCATACTTCATACCTCCTGTCACACAGCTCATTGGTAACCCTAACTCTAATTTGGAGTTTGGAGCACAGCTGTGACCTGCCCCTTTAAGTATATTGTGTAGCGATTTGTTATGAAAAAGTTGTTGATATAGTCCTGAGGATAATTAGAGGATAGCTGTTGTTTATCAACATTTTTCTAGATTAATAGCTTGCCGGGTCTATTTTTCTCAACAACAACCCAAATTATTTCAATATCAGGAAACTGCACAAAATCGCCGAGTTTCTTCCTCATTTGCTAAGTTGCATGAATCACAAATTAACAACTGGGATAGCCAGAAAGTGCTGAACTCTGTTAAACCGTTATACAAACAGACAACTCTACTGTATTGAAGCTTTCTGTTATTTCATACTATATAAACAGTTCCCGGTGTTAAATTTCATTAAAATTTAAGGCCTGAAACCTGGAAATGTTAAATTACTACTAGTTTCAAATATAAATTAATTATTGTAAAAGAGGTGGAGAACTCTGTAGTACGGGAGCACATATCAACAGTTAAGGTATAGGTGTTGGTGTGTTCTGCACAAATCTCTGGTCAATTTTTCATCCACAAAATTGTACAGAGCACAAAGCTGTACAGGGTAGGGTGATAATGCACATTTCATAATCAAAACCAGACTACACATATTGAGGAAACCAATGGTGGTAACACTGCTGATCGCTGTGGAACAGTACTCTCTCATAAAATATTCAGTAAACATTACTTGGTCTTTTGACTTTTAAACAACTTCTTGTGCCGCTTACTCACCTTCTTTAATACGAGTGATTAATTTTATTCACAAGTCTTTTGTCTAGCTAATTATAAAACAACTTTTGAAAATCATATGCGTAACAAGCACGGCGTTTCCTATATCAATACATCCAATGTTTTCCCTCAAAGTACGCTATAAATTTGTCAGGCATGACATGTCTTTTACATAGTAATGTTGGCTGTCTTTAGCAAAACTGTACCTTTCTTGGTCAGCACTCATTTCATCCCACGTTATAGATTTGGCAACCTGCCAGACTTCTGACATAACTTCCATATCCAAGAATGCTTTAAAAACTGCGGTTAGATCAGAGTAAGCCTGCTATTTCCTGCATGATTTTTTTTAACATTCTTGGATATATAAAGTCACAGTGTCATGCATCATAGAAACAGGCCCTTCAGCCCACCAAGTCTACGTTGACCGACAAACACCAATGACACTAAGCCCATTTACCTGCACTCGGTCCATTAAGTACTCATCCGGATGCCTCTTAAATATTGCGAGAGTATCTGCCTCCAACACCTTCTCAGTATCACATTCCACACTTTCGTCACCCTCTGCGTGAAAAAGTTCTTTCTCAGATCTCCTCTAAACCACTTGTTCTTCACCTTACACCTATGGCCTCTGGTCTTAGACAAGACTGCCATGTGGAAGAGATTCTCACGATCTACTCTGTGTATGCCTCTCATAATTCTTGGTATCTCACTCAGATCGCCCCCACCCCCCTCAGCCTCCAAGGAAAACAAACCCAGCCTATCTAGTTTCTCCTCATCCCAAGCAACATCCTTTCACCCTTTCCAGTACAATCACGTTGTTTATAGTGTGGTGACCAGAATTGCATTATTCCATTTATGGCCTAATCAAAGTTTTGTAAAGTTTTAGCAAGACTCCCTATGAACCCACCATTTATTGTGTATGTCTTCCCTTATTAGACCTCCCAAATTGCATCATGAATCACTTATCAGGATTAAATTCCATCTGCCATTGCTCTGCTCAATTTACTGGTTGAACAATATCAGCCTGTAGCCTAAGATCATTCTCCTCACTGTCAACACCACCAATTTTTGTGTCATCTGCAAGCTTACTAATTATACTTTTACATTCAAATTTAAGTTATTAATCCTCATTCAGTATCTCCATCAGTGTCATTCTCTGAAGACTTCCCTTTCTGACTCCCATTGGTCACGAAAGCACTATGGGCATACTTACACTCCAAGGATTGCAGTGGTTCAATACAACAGCTCACCACAATCTCCTAAAGGCTAATTACGCATGGGCAATAAATGCTAACTTAGCCAGAGACACCCACATCTGGTGAACAAATTAAAAAAAAAACAGATTTTCTGTCACACTAGTAGCCTCTTTTTACATTGGATTTTAATTTCACGCCTCGTCCATGGAACCCCAGTATGACTGGACCACTTTTGTGGTAGTATGTATAGTATATAGCCCTAATGCATAATCTTTGTACATTATTTGAAGAAGACCAGCAAGGTCCTTTGGCTCCCTAACCAACATTCTTCCTTCAAATAATACATCCAAAACTTCAGCTTTTCATCTCATTGCTGTTTCTTGAAGCTGGGCAAAAATTTCTTCTTTATTTTTTGATTTGTTCTTGGGCTGTGAACAATTACTGACAGCAAATGCAGCCCACCCTTAGTTGCCCTGAGAGTATTAGAAGTCACTCTTGATGTGTGGGACCAGAGATACATCTAGACCAAACCCGTCATGAGTGGGAAATGTTCTCTGAAAGATTTTAGTAATGACAACATTTTGCAAGACAGCTACTTTCAAGGTCACTAGTGCATCAGCCACAAACCATCAGATTTACAAAAATTAATTTCAGTATTTGACATGGCGAAATCCTGAACTCATAGCTGTTAACAAAATCTTTATTAACACTGTCACCCCTCTATCTTTTGCTCTCACCTTCTCTTGCCTCTTCTGAACATAAAATACTTTATGCCCGCCATACAATGTTGTCTCCTTACTGCAAGGGACTAAAACTGCCTCCAGGTGGGCAGCAGAAATACAAATGATAGCTCTTTTTGAATTTCCATTATTTAAAAAAAAGACAATTTGCAAACCTGTAAATTCCTGAGCACATCTGCTGTTATTTCACCCAGTATTGATTTGACATCATCTATGGTGTAACCTGCCAAAGGATCCACAGGTGTGATCTGGGCTTCTTCATTGCTCTCCTCAGCTTCCACTGCAGCCTACAAAAAATTGTCAAAGAGAGTGGATAATTTATAGCAGCATGTACCTGTGAACAGGATCTTGATTAACTGTATGCTGAGAAAATGTAACAGTACCTCCTCTACGAATTCCTCTGGTGACTGTGACAAAACGTAGGAGGAGTAGATATCCCAGGTTAAACTCTCCTCCAGCGGAGAAGGGAAAGGATCAACTGATTTGATGACTTCTACATCAAGCTTAAAACAAGAATAACATCTTAGTTTAGGGTTCGTACACATACGTTTGGGCTTTGTCTCCTGGTCAAAAAGAAACACATAAGATAGTGTCACATCTTTGCCAACGAAACCCTGTATATGTACTTACTTATATTATAAAACCCCTCCAAAGAATTTGCACCTTGTGAGAGCTGCCCCTGCCTTGAGCTTTCTTGTTAGCTTTTCCACAGATTTTTTAGCCAAACCCATTCTGTAGGGATTTCCTTCAGATTTTTTAGACCTTCCCCCAGCTATAAATGGCCTATATGTGCACACCATTCCACTAATCGCGGCCATGCTTCCTCCTCTTTGCTGCCTCAAGTGCATATTTGCAAAATCAACTTCGAGCCATTGCTAAGCTTTGGCTTCTGTTCAGAAATTTCTATTTCTCCACTATGCAGGCACCTACACCAATTCTTCCTTTCCTAACTCCAGGACATCTCTGCAGGAGCTCCTCAGGGTAGTGGCCTAAGCCCAACCATCTTTAGTTGCTTCCTCAATGATCTTCTCTCCATCAAGTCAGAAATAGGGATGCT